TTGTGCATTGCAGCTCGCGAGGATGTGGAGGTCTGGACGCTTCGTGATCTAGGCCACCGCTTCCGCCTGTGATCCAGATCAGAACTTGCAAGACCCATACAAGGACTTTCGAGAGTGGGTTCGGCAGTCCCGGAAGCTTCTTCTTTTGCGGAATTGAGGGTCGGACTGTGAACTGTGAACGGGAGAGGTGGGTTCGGGTTTGTTAGCTTCGGGTTCGTGGGTAGCAAGGCCCCCACCATCAGGAAGGCGGAAAGTGCAATGTAGGTCAGAGGTGCTGATGCAAGAGGACGGCTGAGCGAAGCTTTACAGCACAAGAGAGAATTAGAATGGCTTCCACTTGGAGTCCCCGCTTCAGAAGGAGCTTTGGTACTTTGCAATAGCTTTCCTACAATCTCGATCAATGGTCGGCGTGTCCCAGTGGTAATTTGGGCAACTAGATTGACATTTAGCAGGCTCTGCAGTGAGCCCCTTCAATATCTCCGAGCCATGCCCTGCATTCTCACGGGCACCTAGCATCAGCTGATGGAGATGGTTTGCTCTTTTCTGTGGACGATGCTGTATCAAAATATATCGAAATCGTTGTGGGGCAGAGTCTCTCGCCTCGCGATGACGAGGCCCAGATTTCCAACAACCTGTGTAGCCCGAACCTCACAAGCTCCTTTTTCTCGTGTCCAAAGTTGGGATCCGACGGGTTGACGTACTGACATACTGCCCACCAACTGCCACTGATGTTCAGACGTGGGTAAACAGTCACATGCATACAACTAGCGAGTTCTCATTGGCGAACGCGCGGGAAGGTCGTACCAGATGTTGTAACTCTTCGGGGAATTTTTCTGCAGTTTGTTGGTTGTCAGGACAGGAGGTAAATTTTCGAGCAACACAGCACAGGAAAGCCAGCGCACCACCACCAATAATGTCCGCAGCTGCAGGGAAACTCAGAATGAGATCACAACTTGCTTGGAACCAAGCCTGCTTCTCCATATCTGCCACGTGCTTGCTCTCTCGTTTATTGAATCCTCTGAGACCTTGAATGCGTGTCGGAGCTCACATGTTAAGACGAAAGACTGAGATAGTGTCCGAGCAGCAGCTACAAACCGGGACGAACATGCAAAGCAACAAGTCCGAGATCCTTATGCGAAGCTGTCAAGCCTTCCGCGCTCATTCCTGTCGTGGTGACTGCTGCGGAAGGTGAAGTGCAGCTGGTTCTCGAACAGGGGATCATTCAGCAGCTCCGCTAGGATCCGGGAAGGTGGAAAGTGTTCGTAGAGGCGAGTCGTGCTCGATTGATTCTAGGAAGATTCTAGGAAGGCACTCCATGGCTTAGATGGCAAAACGCTAGGCCCTAGACCTTCAACCCGAATACCTCCACCCTGAACCTTCGGTTGCTTACATCCTAGAAATCTTAGGCCACACATCTTGGATAAGGGCATTCGGCCTGTTTCCGCGAGTCGCCTCTTCCAGCTCTCAGCGTCGGATTGACATCCTGACCCTGAGCCCCTAAGCCTCTCGGCCGTAAGCTCTGCAGAAGGGAGCCTCGGTTCAATGATGCCGTATATTTCAACGTCTACTGTCTCCTTCCCCTGCCAAGCTTCGATGTTACGAAAGCTCCCTCCGGGAGTGCTTTCGTTTGACACCCAGTGTGGGGCGGGACCACCCGAAAAGTGGCCCAAAACGCGCTCTGTTTCCGAGCCAATCCAGGCCTCAGGCCATGACGGGTTTTCGGGCGTGTGCCCGCGCGCGGCTGCACACGGGACTCCAGGAGAGACGTCTTGTTGGAGCAGCGGGAGCCCGATGATGCTCATGATGTCTGGTGCCGGGGTCGGTGGAAGGGGGGGGGTCATGCGACACTAGGTGCTGCGAGGAGGGCAGCACCCGAAGAGTCTAGCGAAACCGCAACGCTATCAGGACTTCAGATCGGAGAGCCGAAGCAAATTTATTCGAGGGATGATTTGTGGATGTTCAGACCTGAGAAGTCTAGCGAAAGCAGACTTGTTCCATGGCCGCGACATGCAACGGCAGCTGAACAAAAAAACTATGGCCCATCGGCCTCCTCTTGGTGAGCTTGCGTCCCCGCCCCCGTGGCACAAGTGAATCTCAGAGGGACCGTGGCAAATTACCACCCCAAGCCCCTAGCGCTACTAACAAATCCGAAGACACGAACGAAACTCTGAACCCTTAATCCTCAAACTCAAAACTTATATAGATATCGTTTAAATCGACATCCATCATGCTACAGATTTGAGACCGTGTGCCGGAGCCGAGAAGCGACTGGGGACAGTCTTGGGCTTGCGTTTCGCTCGTGGCCCTCTGCCAGGGAGCTCCTTCTTTACAAGCCAACCCGAACTTAGAAAATGGTATGCTTAATCTCTACAATCGGTGTCTTTGTAAAACATTTTACTATTTGTGTACACAAAACATGTACACGCAGAAGTTGGTTTGTAGGCATGTGTATGCATGTATGTATATTTAATATATATATATATATGTATGTATGCATGTATGTATTTATATATGTTTGTATGTGTGCATGCATGTCTGTATGCATGGATTGATTTGTTTATTTATTCAAGTATTCATCATGTATGTGTTTGTATATATATATATATATACAGACATGCATGCATACGCATAATACTTGCACACGCAGAAATGCACTTATGTAAGTATCTATCAGTCTATTGGTCTACCAAACCGTGTTTCTATCATTTTGCCAATCTATCTGCCTATCTACTGACCTACTTCCATTTTTATCAACCTACCTACCTACCTACCTACCTGCTTACCTCTTGCCTATCTACCAATCTATCTAGCTAGCTAGCTAGCCTACTGCTTGCTACTATTACTACTACCACCACCACCACCACCACCACCACCACGACTACTACTACTACTACTACTACTACTATTACTACTACTACTATTATTACTACTACCACTACTACTACTACTACTACCACTACTACTACTATTACTACTGCCTGCCTGCCTGCCTACCTCCTGCCTGCCTGCCTACCTGCCTACCTACCTACCTACCTGCCTGCCTGCCTGCCTGCCTGCCTGCCTACCTACCCTGCCTACCTGCAGGCAGGTAGGTAGGCAGGCAGGCAGGCAGGCAGGTAGGTAGGCAGGTAGGCAGGTAGGCAGGTAGGCAGGTAGGCAGGTAGGCAGGTAGGCAGGTAGGCAGGTAGGCGCCTGCCTGCCTGCCTGCCTGCCTGCCTGCCTGCCTGCCTGCGTACCTACCTCTCCGTCGCTCTGTCTCAGTGTAGTATTTATCCGTCTAATTTTGTACCTTTCTAGCTATATATATATATATATATATCTTGCCTTACCCTGTTTTATCTTATCTTATCTCATCTTATCCCGTCTCATTTCATCTTACCTTGTCATCTTGAAGTTTATCGTTGCTTATGTTGCTTTGCCTGTCCATCCGTATATCTACACATACATCTACATATACGTCAGCATGTACAAGCGCATATGCATGTGCATGTGCGGGCATCTGCGTATGTTTAAGTATATGCATGTGCAAACGCATGTGCATATGTATATGTATACACATAGAAATGTGCAAATGCCTGTGCATATGTATGTGTATATACATAGATAGTCATCAACAAATGTAACTGCGAGCATAGCAAAACTTAGTATATATATATATATATCTAATGTTTATGTCCATATCAGAAGCCCGCTCACAAAACAGGAGATAAGCACGGGGGCTGACACAGCTAGACGAAAAACGCAAGTTGCGAACGTTTCGACCTGGACATAAACCCTGAATCTGGAATCCCGAAGGCTGAGATCTCGCCAACCTCCTACCCCCTCCCGTCACACGATAAACTCGCTCCCCAGACGAAACAAGCTTCTTCTGACAGAGTCTCCACAGAAGCTTTGCCTGCAGCAGAGAGATAGGTTCAATGCCGGAGGCTTCGTTTTCGGCCACCTAGCTTCAGCCACATTCACATTCATATATCAGTATGTTACATGCATGTATGTATGCATGTATATGCCTGCCTGCCTGCCTGCCTGCATGCTGCCTGGATGTATGTATGTATGTATGTACGCGTGCATGTATGCATGTATGGTTGTGTGTATGCATGTTATGTATGTGCGTATGTATGCATGTTATGTATGTACGTATGTATGTATGTACGTACGTATGTACGTATGTATGTATGTGTGTATGCGTGTATGTATGTCCGCCTTTCTGTATGTATGTGTGTCTGCACATCTTTGCTTAATTCCGTGTGCATGGCTGGCTGCCGGCTGTCTGCATGTGTGTATGCATGTCTGTATGCAAGAATGTGTGCGTATGAATGTCTATATGTTTGTCTCTATGTGTGTCTGTCCGTCCGTCTGTGTGTGTATTTATGTCTGTCTGTCTGTACGTATGTACTTATTTATTTTTGTATCTATCTCTGCCTGCATGCATGCAGGCATGCATGTGTGTAGGTATGAATGACTCAGACTTGGTTGGTTGTAATTAAGAATGGAGAAGTGTCTTGTGCCCCCTTTAGAAAGGATACCGCAAAGTTCAAAATCTCTCAGCTGTCCTCGCTTGACATGGCCTCGGCTGCTTGGCCGTCGCTGTACAGGGCCCGCATGGGGCAGACCGAAGGGAAAAGATCTCGCACTGGGAAGTTTCGGGAACTTCGATACGGGGTTGCGGGCTTGGAGCGTTTCGAACGTTTGGTGTTTTTTGGTGAGAGGTGTTCGATGGCGTAGATGGTTTTCGGGTGTTGGTGGTTTTCAAGAACTTACGGTTGAAGATGTAGGATTGACTTCAGGGCTGTGGAGCGTTGGATCCTGTATGCGGAGGTGTTCAGGGATCAGGATCCTGCGAGCAAGTTGCAGTAAAGAGTCCTGCTTCTTTGCCTTCAGGCTGATTATGTGAAACTCCCAGCTTAAAGCCTAGACAAACCCGGAACTGATCTAAATCCTACGCTGCAAAACGGAGTGGGGAGACCAGTCTACAAAATGACTGCATCGCAGCGGCTGAGGTACGAGGTCTCCATGAACCTGACTGTGCCAGACTATGATGGTGGAGACCTTGTGGCAAGGAGCCCAGGGGAGGTCGACTTGAGGGTTTCAGGTGACCCATGCATCATCGGCGAAAGACAGCTGCAGCCCTGCATAGCCTCAAAAGCTTGCACCCTGATCTCCTTCCGGCTCCCTGAAACTTCAAGTCCTAAACTTGAACTTGTCCTGTGCAGAGACACGTTTCTGCTGCCACGTTCATCAGGCCAGCACCGCTGAGCCATGTGCTTAGGGCATGCCGGTCAAGCCTGGAAAAAATCATGCTGATTTACTACCAACTCAACATGGAGGTGGTGGTGGTGGCTGCTACTGGTGGTGGCTGTGGTGGTGGGGTGGTGCTGGTCGCGGCAGTAGTGATGTTGTTGCTCATACCGCTGCTCCTCCTTCTTCCCTGCTCCTGCTCCTCCTCAACCTCCTACGTCTACTACTACTACTAC